AGTTAACGAACTTTGGCTCGGCCTAGAGTCCTGAGGCTCGGACTAGGACCAGGACTTGTGAAGTGATTCCGATAACGTCAGAACCGATGACGTCAGACCAGACCGTGTCATCCGGTTTGACATCGACAGTGACACTCACACCAATGAGGTTTGCGGCTTGTTTGATGCCCTGGGGTCAAACCCAAACCAGGGTCAATGCGCATCATCCGACCTCGGGGTTGAATTTTTATGCAGAAATAAGTCAGTGTCGTATCGCAAGATCGAAATAAAATGTCGCCGCATCATAAGTGAGAAGACGTCGGATTGCTAAAGTTGACCGTCGCTGTTTTTGTCGCGTCGGTTTGCCAAAGTTGACCGTCGTCGTTGATTTTCTGATCTTTTATACTAACGAGCGTGCATGCACTGATTTCAGCAACGAAATAAAAGCACGTTTATCATGTCATCGCCCTCCTTGCATTACCCCCACATCGGCCTATGGCAGCCCAGCTTTCTGAAGAGCGGAGGCTTCCAGTTAAACGATAAAAAGCCGTGACTGTTTGCAAATGAAACGGCAGACAAATAAAAAAGGAACTGTATGCTATTTGTAATGATGTAAAGGAGCCACCAGACAAACCAGTATTTTTTCTCCTGCTGACGTCTTTTTTAGAAATAGAAAGGTTGGGATTTTGTGCATCCGAAACATGCTTGCTTGATTTTGTGCTTCCGAAACATGCTGTGACCTGCTTGGATAAATTAGGTGCTTAAAACAGGTGTGATCATTGCGGTGCTGTGTACCGACAGATTTGGATTTGTTTTGATGTAATGAAGGGTGTAAGTACCAAATGTGTGCTGCTGAGGGAGAACATTGTTTCGTTGCGTCCTTTATGTTCAAGTAGTTTCATTGAAATGTGGAACACCGGTCTCTGCTGCTCTCTTTTTGTTATCGTTTGAAGGTGAAAAACTGAAATGATGTGGATAAGCCATAGAGAATACTAGCACTGACTATGCTGTGGAGTGTACGAGTGCAATACATTACTTTAGCACGCTCTTGCCAAAATACCAGCCCTATTAAGGTGTGAATGCGCGTGATCAAACTGCTGCATACAATTCCCTTAATAATCCATTTGGGCAGTGGGAACAGCAAGCCACGATGGCTTGTCAAGGCTACAACTTGGGTAGAGGCTTGCTCCATATGGGCCACGCAAAGGGCCTAAAACTTTAAGAAATGTGGTGCTGCGTTTCATTACGCATGCACTTATCACTGTCTTAGCCATTTTATGTGAGCAAGCCAGTGGGGCTTATCAGTGTTAGCGTCAGCGTCAGCGTGTCATGCGATTGTGCCGTACCTGTGTGGTCTTACATGTGTTCAGCGAGTCCTCAAAGTCCTTTTGCAGTATAACACATGTTCTGGTGTTACTACACCCTGATAAATATTCGTGAATGAAGCAGCTTTATGGCGGCACAAAATCTGTGCCGTACAGAATAAGCGCCGTCAAATCGGCAGCAAACGAGACGAACAGCGGGGGTATTTTTAGAAGGACGGCCTTTAACCAATGATCACCTGTTACAACCAGATAAAGTGAATGCTTATTTCAGTTGAACGTCAGCATCCTTTGGTCAGATATACATAAATGCATGACTCTGAAAAGGCCTTGCCTTTCTGGCATGAATACCGCAGATGGAACCTTGGCTGCCCTCAGCACAATGCATGGCATCCAAATTTTGTCAAGATATGTCATAACTTATGCGCGGGAAATTCACCCAACTTCATCCTTTTAATGCCGTCATTGTTATGCTAAGTGTAATGGCTTGGCGATGAGGTTAGGAAGCATGGGACAGGCCGGAGTGGCATTACCATTGCATAAAAACAGGGTTAAGAGCGCTGCCTTAGTTCTGCTAATCCAAAGTCTGCCGTTTTGAAAAGATTAGTTTATTCCGGAGTAAGAAAGCAAGTCATCAGACAGAACAGCTGAGTCAAAAAAGCATGTTCGATTAAGATGCCAAATTCGTTACGGTTATGTAAATGTTCAGCACTTGTATGAAGGCCGACTGCTGTCCACAAACAAGCCGCTGCCCGGAGTAGCAGAACGTCTAGTCTAGCAAAGAAAACCAATGCAACCCAATCTAACAGGACACTTGACTGGATACAGGGTCTCATGAACCTGGACTGCAGGGACCGTATGCGGCATTTTGCAATTGCGGGTGGGGGAGGGGAGGAGAGCACAGCGCGACATTTTTGCCGTTTAATTACCTCCGTTTGTGTATTGGTAGTCTATAGCTCACGCGGCTGTCTAGCCTCTGTACAGTACAGCACGTCAGCCTAAATATCATGGACTGTGTGTCCAACATGCACGCTGAATCAGTGTCACACGAGCGACGGGGTAAAACCCCGACTTGCTTGCCCGAGAATCAGCCCCCAAGGCGAAGCAAGCCGTCGTACTACACGGCTCACGATGATCCTGCCAAATAAAGGCAAGAGTGGTATAGCTCAATAATCACTTGGCTTTTTACTGCCACCTGTTACAAAGACGGGAACAAGATTAGCCTCATTGCACCTCCCCTGAAAAGTCCATTTAATAATGGAAACTTTCATATCGTTGTGAGCGATGCCGTCACCCGATCGGCAAACTCACAGATAATGCAAGGCCTTATATTGCCCGTGGTACAAGCTTTGTGGACATTTAAGCTGACTAAGAACAGCCTAATTGTGTTTCATGTTGCGATAAAACCATGCTGATCGGGCACGTCAAACGCTGCGATGCAGACAGGTAGACGGATTGTCTCAGCCTCGGTTCGTCCCGGGGCAGGTGAGTTTTGTTGCGGAGGTGCGATTGAATAAGTTTGCTGTTCTAGGTCCCTCAGCGCTTCACGGTTGTCATCCTGTAGAGAAGGAATTCAGATACCTGATGTATTTTACGAACAACAAAACCGCTTAGGGTTGCACATAAAGTCACATAGCATACCGTACTTATAACAAAGTGCTTGTGACATTGCAGTCTGGACACTGTCCATTTGTCATGAACTTCATTCTCAGTATTTTTATGCTTGTTTTCGTACGGCTGTATGCAGCTTCATTGTCACCCAATGACCTGTGTACCTCGCTGTCAAAGCATGATCAGGATATGTGATTACTAGCCACAGAACGAACATGATCAGGATGTGTGTTCACTAGCCACGGTGGGGACATGACCAGGATGTGTGATTACCAGTCGCAGTGGATACATCGTCAGAATATGTGGTTAACAGCCACAGCGGGAACACGATCAGGATATATGCCAATTACCTGCAGTGTTTCATATTATGCATGATCAGGATGTTTGGTTGCTTGCCACATACAAGTAACCATGTGAGAACACGACAAGCATATGTGGCTACGAGCTACGGTGGGAACATGACCAGGATATGTGGTCACGAGCTACGGTGAAGCATAATGATTGCATACCGCTGTCTCCATTGAAGAGTAAACCAAGTCTGCAATGCCATCTACCGGCAAGTTGTCAATAAAACGCCAGCCGCGTGGCGCTAGCGACCCCGAGGGCCGCAGAAGTTGGCTCGCCTGTGGTCAAAGCAAGCACCACAGCCGTGCAGAGGATCTCGGCTGGCTCGAGAGACATTCGCAGGCCTCGTAAGTCAGCTCGTTTGTAGTTACGAGCGGTAGAAAGAATAAATAATTACCGGTAACCGGTAAACCAGTTACCTAGTAAACCAGCAAGCAAGTAAATCAGTAACCAGTAAACAAGTAATCCCGTAACCAGTAAACTAGTAAACCAGTCACCAGAAAGCAAGTAGCCAGTATGGAGAAGCCGCGGCACCGCAACCAAGCGGACGATCTTGGCAGGAGAGATGGATGCCGTTTGGCACCCCGGTCGTCACGCAGCCACCGGCAGAGAACACCGCCAGGTACAAGAAGTTGCCGCCGCGGTAGGAAGTCCACTGCCGTGCCAGCCCAGCCGTGTCTCAGCCGCCCAGCAGCTGGACAGTCCGCTGGCCGCAACATGGAATGGTGCGCGAGTATAATTGGCATCATTTTACGTGCTCGAGCACAAGCAGCTTGGTAAGGTCCGCGTTCGCCTTCGTCTGTTTGTTTTTAGTTAACTTGATAACTAATACCGTTTAACCAGTGACTCCTGGTGCGCTGGGGGTCGAGCATTTTCAGCATGAGAGCTCCAATTTAAAACGCCTGAAAAGTGCGTACATTCCTTGCGTCAAACCCGAACGCGCGTTGCTAGAACCCTGGGTGTGATATGCATATTGCCAGAGCAAGATGTAGCCATCAGCAGACAGACAGGCTTGCACCACTGGCAAAGATGGTGCCCATCAGCGGCTCGAGGCCTGTGCCCTGATTAACTGCAGTGGGGAACAATAGCTCAGCCCCGAAAATTGTGAAAATATCCCTCGGTGGTAGAGGTCGTTGGACCAAGCCGAGGAGCGTTAAAAAGGCAAACCTATCAGAGTGCATTTGCAAACATCTTGCGAGCCGAGCTGAGTGAATGCCGTGCAGAGGCGCTGCTCAATGACTTTCAAGTGGGCGATGACATCACACCACTTGCACAAATCCAGGGGATTAAACCCCGCTATCTCATCTTCATCCACGAAGTCAAGAATGTGATTGGTCACTTTAACCAGCGCACACTTGCTGAATGTCGGCGGCGGTATGCAATAGCATTAGCGATTGCCATTGGGCAGTTTGGCTGCTGACTCGTGGCCAGTTGGTCGGCAGGTGTGTTTGCTGCCAGTCATTGCAAGCATCAGCCTTTCCGCTGTGCGCGATGGCGCCCTCTTTGAGGCCCGCTTCGCTAATCTGCCTTTAGTGGGCGGAGCCACGTGTCACCGCCGCGGCGCCATTGGTCGGCCTGCGCTAGGCTCCGCCCCCACGGCTGGCGGGGACCGGAGTTGTGTCGGCTGGGTCAGTGCGTGCGCAGAACGTGCAGGGCGCGGCGTGACTTTCGAGCTCTGGACTGGTAGCGCGCGTTCGAGCCAAGACTGAGTGGGCCGGAGTCTGTCGGGGGCTGGGCCGTGAACTCGTGACTCGCCGGCGGGTCGAGGTCAGGGCGCCGGGCTCACCTCGACCGTTCGACTCCGCGATGGTCGAGGAGGCAGCCCCGCCGCGCCGTCGGCAGGCGTTCGCCGATGAGAACCTCTACCTGGAGCCCGTGCTGGCCCCGTTCCTGAGGAGGGTGAGTGAGCTGCCGCTGGACCGCCTGAAGCGCCAGACTTGACGACCGTGGCATCGACCACGATACATCATTCACAGAATCTGGTGGCATTTGTTCGGCAGTGATTCGTTTGATTTGATAGCCCGCTTGATTTCGCTTGTTTATGCTTGAGCGATAATTGCATTCATAGCGCTCGCCGGTGAGTAACAGGGGCACCGTTCATTGGCACAAGGTCAGGAACTGGCGGTAACAGGAAAACCGTCTATCCCGGTCATGACATGGCCGATAAAGTGCCGAGTTCATCCCTCTCGGTCCAGCCATCAGCCCTCGGGGCTGGTTAGGCAGGGGCGGCTCCAGGTCCCTCGGTCCAGTGGTACAATTAAGACCATCTCTGACTAGTGAAGGACGGTCCGCAACGCCAGGTCACCCTTACCGCTCTTGCCGCACGACACCAATGATGCGGAACGATGGGGAATGCTTTTCGAAGCGACGTGATTGCTCCCTGAAGTGACGCGGCTGCGGCTGTTTCATTTCAATGTGTCGTTTCTCTTTTTGCGTCAGAGGTGTGGACGATGATCTGAGAGCACTCTGTTGCAAAGCATAGTTTTGCGCGACACGAATTTCCGACCGCTGTTCTGGTTTGGCATGGGTTTGGCTGCATCATGAGCCAGTAGCGTGGCCGAGGGACGAGCTTTGGGGGTCATGCCTTTTGTAGGTTGGGACAGGGTTCCTGGTAGCGTAGGCTCCAATACTTTTTGGTAGTTTAAGACGCCCGTTGGACTACTGGAGCATCTCAAAGTCCAAATCATCAACACCGGAATACTAGGGCATTTAAAACCACCTTCGAGTGAGCAGAATGGGATCTTGGGTCTGAAAATCCACCTCCTTAAACATGGGCCCAGAGAACAGCCAAGTGGCCCCTTGACCGAAACGGTTCCCTAGGCTCCGATTTGGTCCCCTCCCGTGCAAAATCCTGGCCACGCCGCTGCCGAGAACTGGAAGCTTCTGCCCGCGGCTAGCAGGAGCTGACTCGGGGTATCCAGCGCGTGGTGCAGGATGTGTGGGGCTGATTCGCTGTTTTTGGCGTCAATTACCCTACGTCCCTATTACAATTGCAACAATGAACCTCGCAATGACTCTGCTATGACCATCCACAGCCCCGTGAAAAATTATTTGCTGACGTTGGCAATAAATGTCGGCGTCTCTGACAGCAGTCTATGTTATGATACGGCCAGCTTGATAATAGCGTCAGACCCGCGGGCAGACGACCCATGGTCATACGGTTTCAAGCATGTGCAAAGAACGGCAGGTGCTTGCCGGGCCGCTTTCCTGTGGAGACGTTGACCCAGTGCTCTTTCACTCAAACACGTTGCATGGGCTGCTCTGCCGCGTGCCCGGGCGGGTACAGACACCGCAGTCCCGGGAGAGCACTGCATTGCAGCATGAATGCCGAGTTAGAAGCATCTGTGTCGTTCGGCGTGTGGTGCCATCTGTTGGGGACAGGCCGAGTTACAGTGATGGAGGGCACCAGGGGAAGGGAGGGAAACAGAACAGAAGCAGCACCCCGAGGACTGCAGGCCGCAAGTGGCCTTCCTCTGCGCTTGCGCAATTGCAACGATATCTCGACCAAGGATGGGCCCTTCAACCCAATGGCCTTAAACGTATCACGAAGAACCGATTAACATACAATATATATATATATATATATATATATATATATATATATATACAAAAGCGTCGTATTGAAAGAGTCCGGTGGCTTTCAGGTCAATTATTCTGTTACTGCTGGTGTCGTCACTGGCTTTGTGAGCTCAAAATGCTTTCCACCTACGCCAATCAGAGACGGATTTACTGGTCTTTTTACAGACATCTTGTCGCAATGCAAAATTTTTTGCTGACGACCGAGTTAATCACCATACAGGCTCGTTAAGTTTCTTGATTATCGTAAAACAGCGGGGTGTGCTCTCGATCTTATTATTTGTTCGTGTCCACCTGATATATTGAACCGACAACATCAAGTCACGTTGCATTAATCCACTCCGTAAATTTGGTAAGGGAGTGTATCCTCCCCCCCCCCCTCCCCGGGTGCTATGCGCCCACGCGCCTGACCAATTTTGTGTGCACGTCCACACGGCAAAAAAGCAGAATCTACGATTTATCTGTAACTAGCCTTTGCTTTGCACAATGTTACATCATTTTGCTCGTGGAAATACCAAGCAACCGTGCTTCACATCCAGGAGGATTTCTCATGAAATCCCGATGCACTGCGCGAGAAACCGTGACGCCTGTTCGCGGTGTTTTCCAAATCTGTGCAGAGTTTGGCCAGCAAAATTGTCACGAGGAAGCACGCAGCCTCTTTTCCCCTATCCAGATTTGCTTGGAAGATTTTGGATAACTTGGTGCATATTTAGTTGTTTGTAGAGCCTCGATTTTTGGCATGAGAATCAAGATTAAAGCTGGAATTATTACTCACTGGAATATAAGAGATAATGCTAAGTCACAGAAGCGTTGCTTTGCCTTGTGAGTTGGAAAGCGCAAAATTATCAAACATGCCAAAGAATAACCCAGCAAGTGCTTTTTTCCACGGATTTGGCCGTCTTTCATCTTAAAACTGGAGGAGAACGGGGGGCACAAGTTGGTAGGCTGAAGCCACCCCCACACCAACAGAAAAGGAAACAATACCCCTGTTGAGCCGGGTTGTTCGTACGCGCTGAGTGCTGCACTCAAGAAGACCTGACCGGGTCAAAATGATTCTCTCTAACCCGTGTGTTTCTTTTTTGGCCCAGAACTCTTTGGAACCGCGGCATTTAGCACTAGAATGATTACCGCAAGTGGTTGGTAATTGCTCGTCCCCTGCGATTTATATGTATCCTATGCTTCCCTCCCGAAGCTAGGCCAACATCGCAACTTAGGAGACATGACCAGAGATTGAGCCTGTTAACCAAACACCAAGCATCTGGGTTAAAATCCCTGCTTCTATCACCGTTTCGGTACGATGGTCACAGTTCCCCCCCTCCAGACCTGAAACTGCTCGCCCTCTGCGGTACCGGGACTTCCCGTCCCGTAACACCCGTGCCTAACCGCTTTCAGACGGAGGTGCCTCTGGCCAACCGGCTGCCTGACAACGTGGTCGTTACTCTGGAGAAGGCAGCCCTATGGAAGGCGTTCTGTGCTCGGACCAATGAGATGATCGTGACCCGCAAGGGACGGTGAGTGACACAGCCAGTGATGTGATGTGTGATGTGACCGGTGTGTCACACGCATTACGCCAGCCGGTGATGTGATGTGTGATGTGACCGGTGTGTCACACGCATTACGTCATCCGGTGATGTGATGTGTGATGTGACCGGTGTGTCACACGCATTACGCCAGCCGGTGATGTGATGTGTGATGTGACCGGTGTGTCACACGCATTACGCCAGCCGGGGATGTGATGTGTGATGTGACCGGTGTGTCACAAGCATTACACCAGCCGGTGATGTGATCTGTGTGTGATGTGTGTAAAATGGTCGTCGTCGTTGGCGGCGGGCAAAGCAATCGTTGATGGTTGATTTGAATTGCGTCAGCGGCGCCAGTTTAAGCCGGCTCGGGAGCGCACTCCGACAAACTTCTGTATAGCTCGAAGTACTTGCATGTCAAAATATTTTGCACTTGACCATGCGGCACGTGGCCCGTAGACTGTGCGATGCATTTTGGCAGCGGCAGCGAAACCGTGAAATATTGGGGGACAGGGTCGGTCAATTTTTGAGCTTTTTATTTCCATGCGACATCCCCGTTCCACCTTCTGAGAAAAATGTCCAGTTTTCGCACATGAGCCCTCAGTTCGTGAAGGACCGGGCAACACAGTTTCATTGCACCGCACGCTTAAATTCCAGGAGCGATGAGCGCTGTAAAACGTGCAGAAACCTCGGTAAGAACGGAATCCTAAACCAACCCCAGTCAGTTCCAGATTTTCCTACATCATGAAAATTGATCAACATGCTAAATTGCCATGAGCGCCGTGTAGGACATCCAGGGGCTTATTCCGATGCTTCAGCACTTCAAAAATGTGATCGTGGCAATGGCCTCACCGTAGCCTGGCTGCAAAGCGAAAAATGTGAGCACGCTCAGACGGACACTGAACGTTCGTTTTCGGTGAGCGGTTGATGCAAACTACGAACTCCTGAACAGCGTGGTGGACATTCTCGTTACATTCGCTTTATTGCATTATTCACTTAACAGAGGCTTGGTTTGAACCTGTCTGATTTCCAGCTTCATAATCCGATGTTTTTGTCTGTTAACGTAGCTCACGTGCTGCGCTGCATCCACGAATGATGCCAACTTTTCGGACCATTGCGGTGCAGTCTATATCGCGTTATTTGCCGATGAACAGATTCGTGCTGTTTCTAGTTTGACATACATTGTAGTGGAAAACCTCAATCACCATCAAACATAGCTATGGTTTTGAATACGTCTGGCTGCATTTTGCCGGTGGATTCAACACAACGGAGCAATATAGGAAGCCCGATTTCATGTCAGGCTTCAGTAATACCACTTGGGGTTTGCAACGACATCACGACGTCACGGCAGCGACAACGACCTGCAGATGCAATAACTCGACCCGACCCCCCTTTGTAGGAGGGCAATTTATATATATATATATATATATATATTTATATTTATATATATATATATATAACATCCATATATATATATATACATATATATATATATATATACACACACATTTATATATATATATATATATATATATATATATTTATATATATATAACATCCATATATATACATATATATATATATACACATTTATATATATATATATATATATATATATATATATATATATATATATATATATATTTGCCTTCGATGCAGCCGTGCCGTATAGCTGTACACCACACGACACTTTCAGCGATGAAGGAAGAGATAAAGATGCAGGCAGCCCAGCGGGCTCACTGAGTGTTTGGGATACCAGAGATACGGGGCTCGGATCACCGCGGTGGCCGCCCTCCTCCTCCAGGGTCAGAGGCAGATGACGTCATATAGCCTGAGCTGTCGGGTGCATCGGAAGGTGCCAATGACCGATCAGTATGGAGGATGTAGTCCAGTAATTGGTCGAGGAATCCGAAATGTTCATGTTGGCTGCATCTTAAGCCCACACACATAAACACGTGTTTGTGTGCCTGTGTGGCTTTATGACATATCACACACTTAATCACATAACACGCCTGTATTAGAAGTCACTAACATGTTTTTTACGGCATAGGGTGTGTGCAATGAACGTGATGCTGAAGACTAGAACCAAATTAAAAAGTGATAGGCTGTGAATGAGAGTGGTCCCATCGCTTAAAATTAAAAGGCAGCGCTGGCCCTCTGGGGTCGCTGAGGCACTGACACGGACCTGACCGTGCAGACAGATGCATGGTAATGGTCTATACATGTTTTACACGTACTCCCAAGCTAATTAAGCTCTCAGATGACGTTTAGAACTATGAATTGCGTACCATGTTGACTCGTGTCGATGCAATAAACACTGGCATGCCTCAGTTTGAAATCTGGTGGCGATGCCAGGCAACGTGGCTTAAAATGTCGTGCTCTGGTCAAAGTGAAAGCTGGATATTGGTTCTAGTCCAAGACTCTTAGCCGAAAACATTGGCTTAGAATGGTTCAGGCATGCCTTGAAGCCCAAGTTTTCGGTGTGTTGCCAGGCGTTGCCAGGCGTGTTTCTAATGAGGAAAACGACAAAAGCGGCTGAATAAGCGTTATCGGACTCACATGTTATGATGTATATGTTTGAAAGAAAAGAAAATGAGTGTTTCACAGCAGATGCATGGGACAACGTGGTCTAGGTTAGCTGAAGCTATGAAAGGCATTAGATGCGTTACAACAATCGAAGCTTTCTTATCAGGTAAAGTTATGAAATACTTACTACCAGTATGAAATACCTAAAAAGGTACTGAAGTGGGCTCTTAAGTTTGGTAAGGCATTGCCATTGTATCGTACTGGAAGCACCGCCACGGCCATTTTTCTGGTTGAGAATGCAGACCATGGGGATTGTACTATAAGACAATTCTCAACCTAAGCAGTCTGGCCCAGCTGAAACGCTTTCTAGGAGCCGAAATGTTTGCAGACTCCCATCTTCGCTTCACGGAGCTTTCAGACACAGGAAGCACAGTGCTGGGTAAGTGTTCTTTTCAACTTGCAGGGCATTTGCAACCAGAATATTTGGTAAGACAGGTTTTGTCCCGCAAAGCTGTATTATGAACACGACTACACCTCACCATTCGATCAAAATGGAAAAAACAAAATTACCCAAACGCTGAAAGGCTGAAGAACACGGGCCGAAACCGTTCTAGATCTCGACATCTCGACAACGCCGAGACACGAAATCAAGTCACTCTTACGGGGCAGAAGACGGAAAATCCGACTGACAAAAGCCTGTGTCCATGCATGCAGATCAGCATGAGCTGTCGCGCCTAAGTAGCAGGTCCGCCTGTTTTGGGGCGTTTTTAGCGACTGACGTCAGATTTTACAGCTAAAGCAGATGCTGACATGAAGGTACCCGCACGGTGTAGCTGAATGCTCTGACTACGGCTCACTACCGAGTCTTCAAGCTGTCCTACCAACGGGTACGCCAGCAGCTGATCAGAAATGGACCAACTTAGCAAATTTAGAGTTACAACTTAGGAGACCAACAACGTCACGTTTTTCGAAATCCATCTCGAATGCCAGAGACTGTGGCCCTTGCCTCGAGAGACTTAGCCTGGACAACTACATGCACGAGCTTTTGTATGCATTATAACCAGCATCCGTTCAACATTTTTTGCAGTTATCATGCCGCTTTGGTCACAGCTGCTTAAACCACAAATGGTTGCAAATCGATCGACGTTATCGCTTTGAATAATTTATCGGCGTCGATTACAATTACCAGGCCTGCCGAGACATGGCGGGTCTGTTAAAGAGCAGCTGTGCTGAATTAACGCACCAGGCTTCTGCAGTGGATCTCTACCTGTTATGCATCATGAAAGGTGCTATGCAACGCGCTGGTAAAACCAACTGGTGTGGGATGCCAGAGGTGACAGGCTTTATAGCTTGGTTTTCCGTACCGTCTGTATGATGACAGCAAACAACGCTCACATCTGCTACCACCCCGCTCATTTCACATGAAGGAAAGTGTCGTACTGGTTATGTAATGGAGTCATTTTAAACTCATTCTCAGACTGAAGGTTCGTCAGTGGAGTGTCATTTATGATGCACTGTATGTTAGTAACATTTCGAAACCCGGAGGGAGGGGGGTAAATAACTTACGGTTCAAGGCTCAACAGCAACCAATTTTCAGCAGCCGGCTTCCGGTTGCATGCATTGGAATGCCATCCGCCTCGACGTGCTGTGCAATCTCGCACTTCTCACGCCTCTCACACTGCAATCTCACACTTTTCACGCTTCTCACACTGCAGTCTTACACTGTCCCGAATTGGCAGCAGATGTTGCCCGCGATGGCCTTGCCGTCGCATTTTTCCGTAAAGGTTTCCCTGGACGCAAGCGACTAAGGTGCTACACCACCATGGGCCTGTACCCCGCCTGCCTGAAGGTGAAACCAACTGACAGCAGAGGAATCTCAACAGAAAGGGACGGACGGCTCACAAAAAGCGATGTCCCTGGCAAATAAGCGAGAGATGTCACACCGTGTTACAAATCGTCGCGCGAGAATGGCTGGCCCCGTAGCTGAATTGGCCAGAGCGCCTGCCACCCAGACCACCCGCGACTGGGTGGATGGGTTCGGGTCGCTTTTGCGCCCGGCTTTTGCTCCTGGTTGGGATTGCTTGCGGCCGGTGGCAGCCCATCCAAGGTCAGGTATCAGGTCGAAAGGTGGGTGGATCATGTTGAGCATTGCCGCACATTAAACTTTCGCCACCAAATTCTGCCGTTGAACTAAAATATCATGATGGACGGCGGGGTCAAGGTTCGCAGAACGGGGTTTTCTTAGCGCGAACTAAGGTGACAGAAACCACCAATCAAAATGTTGGGAGTAAATTTATAAAGGATAGCGAACAAATGTTTTCGTTCGGAAGGCCCAAATTTTTTTATGCACGTCGCTAAGACTCACAGGCGCTTGATACCTACTCTTTGTTGTTGTTGATTGGAGTTTTAGGGTGCGCCAACTGCTGAGTTCATTTTGCACCCACGTCTACCCTACTTACTCTTCGTTCGTAGCAGAATGGGCAAAGAACACCATAGTTCCAAAGAACGTGACATCAGATGGATCTACTACGATTACTTGCGACGAAAACCTGACAAGTGCCGATGTCAGTTGGCAACGTTCTAGGAGCGCAAAGCGGGACAAATATACAATGGTCGCTCCGGATCAATTCCGTATGCTCTTTTCTGCAATCCCATGAGCATGTTGCGCAATATGTGGCTGTGGGTTAGGCATTGTTTTCAAAAAGACGCGTGCTGGTAGCTTATACGGTGTTCATTGTATTATTCCGCTGTCTCTGATATGAACGTTGTGCCCGTCGCTTGTCAATTTAATTAAGGTTGCCAAAGTTCCTGCAATAAGGTCTCGTATTTCTCCGCCGAAATGCACATTGCACGTGTCATCCGCAAACACTTGCTGCTTCCAGGAAGATGTTTCCCACCATCCGACTGAAGATTGAGGGCCTCGAGAAAACCTGTCTGTACGCCATGGTACTGGAATTCACTCAGCTTTACGACATCAAGTAAGTCCCGGCGGCGGCTGACCGTGGTTGGGCTCCAGCGTGCGGCACACACGGGCGTTCGGCTCCAGCGTGCGGCGCATGCGCGTGTTCGGCTCCAGCGTGCGGCGCACACGAGCGTTCGGCTCCAGCGTGCGGCACACACGGGCGTTCGGCTCCAGCGTGCGGCGCATGCGCGTGTTCGGCTCCAGCGTGCGGCGCACACGAGCGTTCGGCTCCAGCGTGCGGCGCATGCGCGTGTTCGGCTCCAGCGTGCGGCACACACGGGCGTTCGGCTCCAGCGTGCGGCGCATGCGCATGAGTGACAGATATCGCACACAACCCATTCAGCTGGCACCCTCCGCCTCCACTTCGACACATGCAATGCAATTCGATGCACGCACAATTCCGTCGCCGGAACTCTATGACTGAAATTCAAACATGCTCTTGACACACAGACATGGGGCACGGAGGTCGTGAGAAGCTTGAGGAGACAGGGAACTTTCTTGTTTGTTCACGTACCGCTTTCGCCTCATGGAGGGCCCAAACTCTTCAACTCGGGTGAATCTGAACGTAATCAACGATGCAAACAAGCCTTAACAGATGGTGGGCCCCCCTGTGCACCGTCGGAAACCAGTATGCTTTCCAACGGAAAACCTGGCCCTGGCTAGCTTTCTCACAGTTTAGTGTCCTACTGTGCCACCACGTTAGGCTGATGGCAAGGCAACAAGTCCGTTCATTGGCTGTTGATGAACCGACGTCACAGCTAGAACTCCAATAACAAATCACCATCACTGTTTTGCATCCAGTCAAATCAACGGACCGAAGGCGGGTGTGTTGCATTTTGTTTGGAGCGGTGAAAATAATCGGAACACGGCAGTTGGGAAGCCAACATTGTTCAAAAGGTAACAGAACATCTTAAATGACTTTGATTATAGCAGCGCTGCGTGCGTGATAATAGCAGCCTCGAGCTTGTACCTCTGATGTCATGCACCGTCCAGCCGTTTGTCTCGTGGGGCCAAGTCACGAAACTTCACTGCAATGACACAACACACGATCGTAAGATGAAAGCAGTGCGATGTACTTGTGATCATTACGTGTCTGTGATAAACGGGGTGATAAATATCGTAACACAATCGCATACCCGACACCGGCACAGCGTCACGTTCCGAGCACGGTGCTCTCCCGACACCAGAGCACGGTGCTTCCCCAGTCACTTGAGCACGGTGCTCTCCCGGCACCGGAGCACTGTGCTCTCCTGGCACCGGAGGCCGTTGCTCTGCCGTCACCGGAGCACGGTCCTCTCCTGGCACCGGAGGCCGTTGCTCTGCCGTCAGCGGAGCAGTGCAGTGCTCTGGAGCAGTGCTCTCCCGGTAGCCCTGCGCTGACCCGCCCCTGACCGGCCGTGCCGTGGCCAGGTTCCGCTACATCCACGGTGACTGGAAGCCGACGGCCACAGCTCGGGCGGACCCGCCGCTCACCGCCTGCTACGTCCATCCCAAGTCGTACCAGCTGGGCGAGTTCTGGATGAACGAGCCCATCTGCTTCGACGACGTCAAGATCACCAACGACAAGACGGTCGGACCGGCCATGGTGAGTGTCCCGGCGTTGTCAACAGTCAGCTGACCGTGCGTGTCAGCAGTCAGCTGACCATGTGTGTCAACAGTCAGCTGACAACGTGCGTACAGTCAGCTGACAACGTGCGTGCACACATATAACCAATCAAGAGCTACATGCGGTCTGGCCGTCCGGCAGAACGCACTTTCGGACGTAGAGAAGTGAAGCTTTGCTCTCTTCGGCTAGGTTGAAGTCAGCTGCGCGAGTTTGCTGAAGTTTGTTCGAGATGAGTGCGAATCCCACTGCTACAGGCATGAGATATGTGGTGTCTTTGAGTTCTGCTTACGAGTGTATCGGTCTGGGATACAGTGTTGTGATCCTGTTATTTGCATTGCTATGCTGTTAGTTGTTGCGATCTTGAAGCTAAGAAAGAATCATCCGCAGAAAGAAAGACAGGAAAGAAAGCCGTCGGGGCATCTAACTGTTCTTTCCCTACCGGAGCAGACCATGCATGCATCACCCTTCCTTGAGCGTGATTCCAAAGAATGTGTGCCTTTTAGTCGCCGCAGAGAGGCGTCGGCGGGCTGCGCGTGCCGGTTGTTTGCTGGTGTTCCGCAGGTTCCTGCGATCGGTTCCGTCCTCCTCTAGCCGGTCGGTCCTGTCCTCCTCCCGCCTCTCTGCTCCGTCCTCCTCCCGCCGCTCCGCTCTGTCCTCCTCTGCCGCTCCGCTCCGTCCGCGGGCCGCGCGGCCATTCCAGGCCAGGCCGGCCATGTTGGCCCGGCCAGCCGGCCAATGCGGCCGGGCTGGCTGTGTTTGGACGGCCCACCGGCGGCAGCGGGACGGCGGCGGCGGCGGCGGTGGACGGAACGTAAGGGGGAAGGGGCGGGGGGGGGGGCAGCCCGCAGATCTCCCAGCGCTGTGTATGCTAGGTACATGAAAACGGTCGGTCAGAGAGCTGGACAATGATGCTCGGCGCCGAACTGCATCCAGGCATGACAACTATTCGGAGGTGTTGGTTTGCCGGGAGCGGTTCCCATGACAACAGGGCGTAGATACGTCAGAAAACGGACGGTTGGTGAGGAGCAGGGAGTTAGCTTAAGTTTCAAAAGTTCCAAACTTTCAAAGGGATTTTCAAAAGTTCCAAAGCTTCAGCGCAACGCTTTCTGTACATTTCCTCGGCGGGTCTGTCTGAGATCGCTAAGAGGTGTTGCAACTTGTAAGTGTGATTTAGCTAGTACATTACAGAACACCTTTCTGACAGGCTTCGCCGAGCGGTTTTAATGCGGCTTTTCCCATATAGAATGAGAGAGTTTAAGAAGCAATCAATCCACTAGCCAAGCAGCAATACTACCGTCTGATTACGTGATAGGAAACATTAAGCAGCAGGAAAAGCGGCAAGACTGATCCACTTGCAAATAATATTTTCTTTGTAACTTTTAAACTGTGACTTAGCAAGGCACAGTTGTTGAACAGTGAACTAGAACATTCCCCAGCCGTGGCTGGTATCACGCCCGTGTACCCAGCCAGTGAAGGGGTGGCTTGTGGCGACGTTACGGGCGCTCAGAGTCAGCAGCCGGTGCTGGCTGCTGGCTGCTGGCTTCTGGCTGCTGGCTGCTGGCTGCTGGCAGCTGGCTGCTGGCTGCTGGTCCTGCTGACCGCTGCGGTCTGACCGCTTAGTGTCACCGCCGCCGCCGGCTAGGGTCCGCCGTAATCACGGCTTCGAGCGCGGTAGACTGACTGCTGGCTGCTGGCTGCTGGCTGCTGGCTGCCGGCTGCTGACTGCTGACCGCTGCGGTCTGACCGCTTAGTGTCACCGCTGCCGCCGGCTAGGGTCAGCCATAATCACGGCTTCGAGCGCGGCGGACTGATGCCAGCGCCGCCATAAACCAGGCAGTCAATCTCGCCGATTGGGCCACTTTGCTCGCTCGTTGTGGTGGCAAGGCAACTACATGTGGCTGCGGGACGTGATAACTTGCTTTTTGTGAAGTAGGAGCTGACTTTGGACGTAACTGGTCCACTTGGCTACCACCGATGTAGCTCAATTAGACATAACAATGCGTAAAGCTCCGAAAGGTCACCACTACAAACCTTATTTTTGTTCGGCGTCAGACTCCACTGTTCTCACCACATAAGCGTACCGTAACCGTGCATAGGTGCGACACCTGTCGACCATGATAGCATGACCCGGGCTACTGGCGATACCTTACCACGGGAAAGTGCCAACAGCGCGGTCTGCGCGGCACACTCGGCTCACATTTTCCCGCCGGGCTGATTGTGAGGTTCCGCTGCATGGAACTGACAAAATGACAATGAGAATGAGATTAACGGGTGAGAATGGATGAACTGATAACATGGGGTTTTGCTGCGACTGGTGTAATTCCAGAACATATATTATTTCCTATAAAATTAGTTGTATGCTCTAAGTGCTTGCTTGCAGTCGATGTTTGTTCCTGCCTTTCGTTATGAGCTTGTTTTGGGGAAATATGGGGATTTTTTAAGTTGGGAAATATAAAATCGCCCACTTACGGCGGTGGGCTGGACTGATGCCAAATTTATAAATATTGAGGAATGGCTCGATGACTCACAGTTTTTTGATGGAAAGCCTGTGGCCAAACTAAATTGATATGTGCTCAAGTTCTTAACACCTTAAAGGGATTCATTGCGATGTGTACAAGTGCTGCAATGGCCGCCTCGTATACCGATTTCTAACGCCTTTGTTTCTTATTATCAGTAGATTGAATCACCACGTCAGGTCCCAGAGTGACCTGTTTTGTTATTATGTCATCGCGCCGCTCTTTGTACCGGCTCCTCGGCCCCGGCAGCCACCCCGGGCCGACACCCCACCTCCCCATCAGCGGCGGCCGGTCGCTCGGGCGGGGCGGTAGACGGGGCGTCGGCAGTTTATCGGTGGCCTCCCTGACGCATGACCCCCTCCCCTCCTTCACCTGCCGATACCGTGCCCGACTTCCGGCGCCCCCTCCCTGCCCCCTCCGCCCCCGCCCCCGCCCTGTTGACTCGAGCCGCCTCAGACGGTGCGGCGGGCCTATCGAACCCCCTCCCCTTCCCGCGCGGCGGAGAGAGCGACGGAGCGGACAGAGGGGAGGGCAGGCGGCAAGCTTCTGGGCGCGATCGGCGCGCTTTACGGCCCATTGTGGCCGGGTAATGTAGACGGGAGCGCGTTTGATCGCGCCGCCCGCCGCCGATTACAAACACGGCGCACTAATGCGCCAGGTATGACACGGCGCATCAGCTGGCCAAATGGCCGTGCCGCTTTTATTGTTTTTAATCCGGCCCGTACGCGGATTCCCTTGTCATAAAAATCTACTGCCTGATTTATCGGTATCGTCGGCGGCATCCTTTGATGCGGTTTACAACTGTGTGTCGACGATAGGCGGGCGCGCCGCGCGCCACCGCCGCCACCGAGCCGGTCGGCGGAGTCGTAAACGGCGCGCCATTTAAACATTTCGGGAGACAATGCCGAATTAAAGGCCCAACGCGGCGCGGCGCGGGCGGGCCGTGCCCTAATGGCGCGCCCGGCGGGACACGGGGACGGTGGGCGCCCGGGCGTGGGCTAGGGCGGAGACGGAGACGGAGACGGAGGCGGGACGGGGACGGAGACGAAGATGGAAACGAGGACAGGGACGGAGACAGGGATAGTGACAGGGACGGAGACGGGGGCAGGGACGGGGACAGGGATAGTGACGGGGACGGAGACGGGGACAGGGACAGGGACGGGGACGGGTTCGGAGCCGGAACCGGAGCCAGAGCCGGAGCCGGAGCCGGAGCCGGAGCCGGAGCCGGAGACGGAGGCGGAGACGGAGACGGAGACATGAACCAAGACGGAGTGTGGACGGAAATAGATGGGGAAGCCGAGAGATGGACCGTTTCCGAGACCGAGGCAGCGGCCGAGGCATCAACCAAGACCAGAACAGGACCAAATACCGACACAAAGAACCGAGCGCGCTCTGGGACGGGCACCGAGGTCCCGAGCGCGACACCAGCTCCACTGCAAGTAGGACGGCTCGCCACCTCAGGCCTCCGTGTCCTCGCTGTATGCAGACCAAGTCCCGACTACGGCTCGGTGCAGGGCCCGCGCGAGACGCGTCACAAAGCCTGGCGAGAGCTCGCGCACTCTGAATGTCCGTTTTATGAGCCGCGCTCCCGTGTTCCACCAGCGTACGGACGGCTTACCGCTGCCGCTGCTGGGCCATTACGGCACGGGTGACGCGGTGCAATAAAGCCATCGTGAGGCGCGCGGCACTGTTTGTGGGGCGCGGCAGTCACCTGTTGCATTACACGCGGCTCCGATGTGGGACGCTGCATACGGACAGGTAGCCGGAGGCTGGCCGGTGCCGTTGGACGCGGCGTCACAGTTGCGGTGCTTGTATTTCGGTCGTGTTTGGTATGTGTGGTTAGTCGGCGTGAGGTGAATATCCGCTCAACGCGCTTGTCATTACCATGACGGATAAACGGAATGTTTTACTCGGCACACACACATCGAACCAGCTCACCTTTTCCTCTCAAGCTCCTCTCTTGCTGGGGCCTGCTTGACGTACATTGGAGGCGTATCTCTCTCTTCCACGGAAATGTAAGGTTTACGCCAATACGCCATTTAACACCCGCTGTGCGCTGAGCACCGAGGGGACGCCGGTGGCTTGTTGGCCCCTTGGTGGCGGATCATTGACGGCGAGATCATTGATGTCGGATTTCAGCTCTGGTGACGTCCTTTTCCACGATCTTGACGTTTCAAATGCAACCGAACATATCAAAGGCGCCGTCCCCATTGAAGCTTGACAGACGCACGCGCTCACATCGCGTGCGCGTGCGCCGCCATACGCGCGCGCGCGCGCGTCCTCCGCCTGCGCAGGGGCGGAGTCAGGTAATGCTACACCGGAGGAGGGGGTGAAGACCACGCGCCTCTGAGGCTGCTGCGCATCCTCCATTCCACGTCTCCATCCGTCACCGTTGCGTTGTGCGGCCACGACCGCCTCCCTTTCCCCGCCCCTGGCGGCCGCCCGTGCGCCGTCTGAAGCCGGGTCGACTTCAGAGGTGCCGCCGGCCGGCTCCTGTGACGGCGGGCACACACCATAACCGGCGCGGTATGGTGCCACGGAGCACCGGCACGGTGTCGCCGCCAGTAATCTGTTTTCATCACACGGTTCGTCAGCGCCCGGTCCCGCCTGCGCACCTGTGACACTAACGCCGGGTGACGGCGGGCAGAACAGGTGTCCCACCTGCCTCGGAGAGCGGGGGGGGGGGGGGGGGGGGGGGACAGGGACAGCGCGCCTGTGCGGAGGCACGCGTCCAATTATTTGAATGTAAGGTTGAGTTACTGTCGGGGTTGATGCGCTGGAATTTTATGATCGCGATAAAAATACGTCCGGGCTCTTGCTCCAACACGCTTGTTGAGATGCCAAGTGTGTAAAAGTGGTCGCGTTTTTTTTTGGTGCGCATGAGGAACAATTCGAAGCGGCCTTCCTCCATACACTAACCCTCGCCCTGTTAAAAGGAATTCATGTGAATGCTCCCCCGTTGAGATTGCTGAGAATGGGCAACTGCGTTCAAATCCTCAGTCTCTTATGGAGCATCGCGTAGGTTTTGACGCCGAAAAAATGTGCCCCTGGCTGTACGGCTTTTGGCTTTCGGCC